TAGTTTTTCCAATTTTTTCTTAAAAAATTATTAGTCCATATGAATACACAGGCTTCATTCATATATGATTATTTATTGTAGTCTTTAGGTTCTCACAGTTGTCACAACTGCCAGGGCCTGCAGGCTTTTCTTCCTGACAAACTTCCGATCATAATGATCTTTTCTATGAAAAAAATACCGAACTCAATATAATCTGAGAATCTCCATCCAGGAACCATACGTAGGTCATTGTATATTATATATACAGACTCTACAGAGCTGCTTTTACAAGACTGCAGAGGCGGTATGCAAAGTCATATGACCATTGCTAGGACAATCTAGAAGGCTGCTGAAATGGAGTTAGGACAAACATGGCGGAATTGACTGGCAGAACATTATTATATACTCTAAACTAGCACCCACGTTCTTGTCGGCCTTCAAATTATTGAGCCGTCACCCACCAAGATACCCGCACAGCAGCCATGCCTTCTAGTGACCAACATAATGATACCATCGCCCAAGTAAGTTGATCCGAGCATGACCAGTAATCGCAGTTCAATGGATACATACATTTTGAGCGCCCTGGTATTGCTATGTTCAACATGAAGATGCTGATCACTAGCAACAGGCTTTCAAGGATATTACAAGGTATGCGTCAAGACAACCAACCCTTGTTTTCACCTAACAGGATGGTCCCAGTGGCGAAATGACAGCTCTGGCGCTGGAAAATCATTTGGACAACCTGGAGAACAAAATAGAGGAGTTACTGAACGCGTTTGAAAAGCACCCAGAAACCGAGCAGACGAATGGGCAATGCTATAATCAAGACGAGGTGACATCGACACAAGCTCATGTTGAGGAGGAGTTGCGAAACAAGTCCTCCAAGTGAAACTGGCCATCGGCGTCCTTCTCTGCCACGCCCTTCTCTGTGATGATACCGTCAATAAGTGTGGACGGTGTGACATCAAAGGCCGGGTTCCAGACATCGATGCCATCAGCGGCTATGCGCACAGTTTCTAATTCAATATCATTGGTAGATTTGTTGGCACGCGGTCCTCTGACAGTTGTGACTTCGGAGGCCGCACGTTCCTCGATTATGATTTCATGACCGGACGGGGTGGCCAGATCAATTGTAGTAAGCGGTGCAGCAACGAGGAACTTCACACCGTGATACCTTGCAAGCACAGCGAGGCCATAAGTACCAATTTTATTCGCTGTATCTCCGTTCGCAGCCACCCTATCCGCTCCCACTACGATGGCATCTACCTGAGTACCAGACTTCGCGAGTAGAGCAGCGGCCATAGAGTCTGTTATGAGAGTGGCGGGGAGACGGTCGTGGACCAATTCGAACGCAGTCAACCGAGATCCTTGATTGTAGGGTCGTGTCTCGGTGCAGTAAGCACGGTTCAGATTGTCTGTAGACGCAAGGGCGCGAATAACTCCGAGCGCAGTGCCGTAACCTGATGTTGCCAGGGAGCTGACGGCGGGTTAGGATTGGATCACCTGCAGTTGAGCTTGGTTGTACTTACCCCGTATTGCAATGTGTGAGAACAGTAGCCTTCGGCTTGCCCACGGCATTGGCCATGATCCATTGGGCACCATGCTTTCCTATGTTTTTGTTGTCCTCAATATCCTTCACCAGCATTTCCTCTGCTGCTTGTATCAGAGCAGTAGCGACGCTGCGCCCAGTCGATCCAGGCCTTTGTGTATGATCACTCGCCACGGCCCTAAGCTTCCGAGCAGCATCGGCCAGGTTTACTGCCGTGGGTCTGCTGCTCACAAGATAATCTAGCTTGTCCATAATGAAAGCTTGAACCTCTGGAGCTTCTGAGGGAATGCCATTGCATGAAATAAGGCCATGAAGTTCAGATGCAAGAGCGAGGGCCGCTACAATGGCAATAGCGGGTGCTCCTCTTACACGCATATCTTTTATTGCGTGCCATGCTTCCTCACTTGATTGTATCGTTATGTATTGTTCCACATATGGAAGCTGCAGTTGATCTATGATGGACAGATTGCCCTCGTTATATCTGATTGCCTGTAAAGTCATGATTCTGTTCGATTCAAAAGAGGCGAATTGATTCAATTCTTCTGGACGCTATACGTTCCTTGCGAGGGCACACTTTAAAAACAAAGCAGAAAGTAAGCTCTGCAAGATTGAGTACGAAAAGATAAAAGTAAGATCGAATGTGACGTTGGCTGGATGAATAGAAAATTTGAAACTCGGAGCCTAACTTGCTGGTCTGTAACACAGCACTGAATCCAGAATCGCACTTTTAACCGTTAGGTGGGGCATAGTGCCTAGGTCACTGCCGTACCTTATAAAGCAGCCTCTAGTCAGACGGTTACCCCTCCATGCGCTAGCGATTCCTGGTTTGCGCAATGGAAGCAGTGCAGATTCTAAAGTATAACTATCCTTTTATTTGACATGGGTCTTAAAATAAGAAATTGTTTCCGCTGCTGGAAACCTCGTTCAGAGGCTCAAACAAAAATCATTTGGATTGACTATCTGCGCTGGTCATCCATTTGATAGAAAAGAGTCGCTAATAGAAATTCATAGTATTAATGCGCGGATATATACAGCACTATGAGAGTCAAAGAGAAATAGTTAGACGTGTTCATCTCCTTAGGTGTGACATAACAAACCGTTATTTCCGCGAATGAAGGCATCCCCGTAACTGCGGGACAGATTTCCATTAACAAACTCCTCAGATTTCTCCAGAGCGATATTCATATAGCCATCTACCGATTGAAGTTCCCCTGAAGAGTTCGTTAGCGTTTAATATTCCTGTTCTTCGTTTGTATATATCTCCTGTCCCCCCATAAGAGTCGTACTCTTCTCCTGTACCAGGGGAGAAAGACTCGATTTTGGCAGAAACGGTAGGTAAAACAAAGCAGAAGATGACTGTTCACCTTTATAGACAACGCCTGAGTTCAATTTGACAGTAACTGGGGCGCCAATGATTTCACCCAGAAAAGCTGAGGGATCCTTGCCATCAGATGAGGCACCGTTCTCCATTTTGCTGTCCTTTCTCTCTTCCTATCTCTAAGCTTTGAATAAGGGCTGGAAATGCTCAACAGGCGCTAGGTGATCGTAATCGGCAATTTCACTGATTTAGTAGTGATTGGGGGTTATCATCAGTCTTAGCCCGAAAGGGGTTAGACGAAGGCCGGGGTCATGAAACACGTGCCTCTCCGTAAGCTGTAACACTGTAACATTGAGTACTGTTTTATCAAGCATTCTGTATGACTGCATCTGGTCAACTACTCGGACTCATTTTATTTCCATTGCAATATCCGATTTGCACTCATCAATACCTTTCACCACGTCCGACTCAAATGCGTTCGTTTTTCAAAAAGCCTTCATGGGCAAGCAGGGGAGATGAGGGAACAGACCCGAATTTCTACCGTCATGCTGGTCAAGTCTATAATGACATTATCACTGCCAATCGGAAAGCTCGGGCTAGCCGACTGTCTGTAGTGCAGGAACCAAAGGGGGAACCAGAGCAGGAATTAGAGCAGAAATCAGAGCACACAAACTCCAAACGTCGACGTCTCTCCTGCAGACAGCCCTCCGCAGAAAGTTCATTAGGGGCCTTCACTCACAATGAAGCACTGCACAATGCGGAACAACCATTGGATTATAATGCTTCTTATGAGCACTTACAAGAGACCAATAACAATGGCGATGGTTGTGGTCCATCCGCGGGAGTCTCATCTTGTGGTATCACAGTTGGCATTACAACAGAGACTGACGACCAATGTTGTGAGTCACTACCTGATGTGGAGCTTACTCAAGTTGGGGCAATCCGTGCGCATTCAGAAGTTACAAAAGCAGTCAAAGAGAACAAGATTGCTTCCGTGCAGCAGTCACGTTTCGAGAATGCTCGGGAAGTTGATGAGACTGTCAAACCCCATAATCACAGTCTTGCCCATAATCAAGCAATAGTTCAGATCCTCATTACCTCAAAAATCCCAAATACCAAACCATTGATTGTCCGCCGAAAAATGAACCAATCTCTCAAGGATGTCCGTCTAGCATGGTGTAATCGCCAGAAATTCACCAAAGAAATGCAAGAATCGGTCTTCCTGACCTGGAAGGGTAAGAGACTGTTTGATGTTACTACATGCCGAAGACTGGGAATCCATGCAAAAAGCGGTAATTTTAACGGACATGACACATTTCACTTAGATGTGGAGGATATACAAGTTCATATGGAAGCTTCTACAGAAGACCTTCTCAACGCTGATCTTTCACACTCACAGACTGTGACTGACGCCAAGTCCAGTCCGGAATATACGAGCTGGAATGGAGCAACTTCGTCCCCAGACATGATACTATTAAAGTGTCCCGGGTTTGGTGATTTGAAGGTAGAGCTGAACCTGGAGATGCAGGTATCAGAGCTAGTTGCTACCTTTCGTGCTGCTAGGCAGATACCCGCAACCCGTGATATACAACTTGTATTTGACGGTGACCGCTTAGATATTAATGCTTATCTTGCAGACTACGAGCTCATGAACAGCGATCTTGTGGAGGTTATAATTAAGTGAATGAGTTACAGAGATGTAGGCAAAATATCACGAATATGTCTAAAAACCTGTTCACATGTATAATAAACAATTTGTATTAGCCTAAATTTTATCAGTCATATCGGAATTTGCAGTGGTCTTAATTTTCTCAAAATTCCTACAGTTTGATACCTAAATCGAGTTCTATCTTACCTGATATCTTCCCAGGAATGAGTGGGGGAGGAGGGTTTCATTACCCCATATGAAACATGATTTCACGGCATCATACCATACCAGTGATTCTCTGCGCCGTAGAAGACAGCTGACATTGTTCTCAAGTCTGGATTATTTCATCTTCAAATCTTTGATTTCTTCAAAGGCATGTGCTTGTCTAGTAACTACCCCCTAATTCGTAGCATGTTAATTTAAATTTCGCTGAGGCTTGAGAAACGGCAGCCAAAGTATGAAAATTACCGATAACGTAAGACACTAAAAATTTCCCACCCAATATATCCAAAGCGAACTCTGAAGGAAAATGTAGAACCGTCGCCCACTTTCTTCATTCTGGGTTAATATTTCTATTCGAAATGAAGCTCATCACTGTCAACTTTCTGACCTGTGCTGTGAAGGGGTGCAAAACAGCAGCAGCATCATATCCGCTGCATTTTCGAGATGCTGAATTAGAATTGCAGGAACTGGAGTTCCAGCCAGAGTTCATACTCAATATTATTCCTCGGATTGATTGGGAAGCGCTGCGAGTCATGGCAAATGAGGTGTGTGTACATTCCTGGTCCAATGCAAATCATACCACATACTGCTTTATAGGCTGTTTGAACTCACCCGGAAATAGCTCGGTTTTCCCAAAATCCCAGACACTAAGCCGGAAGGTGATGCGCTTAATGATGAGCAGCTTCTAAAGGAACTCCACAGGCTCTTGTTAGAAACACAGGTTGTTGAAGGAAGATTGTGTTGTGGAAATTGCGGCCATGAATATATGATCAAGGAAGGAATCGCTAACTTTCTTCTTCCCAGCCATTTGGGTCTGATATTCTTTTCCGTTAAACTTGTCCTTGACTTTGCTGACCACGCGCAGTCTAAATATACGAAGGTGTGAGTTCAAGTGAGCCCGGTCACTGGAACCCGAGATGCCTGTCCAGGAATCTGCTGGTCTCTTATTGACAAAAATATTTGTGACCTTCCGTCAGTCGGCTTTGCATCTACCAAAACTGCCAACCGGCTGTCAACTCTACGTAAACAAAGGATCGCAAGTTAATTTGGGACTTGAAGTTCCACGAATGCCTTGCAGCCGGTCAACTCATATCATGAGATACGCACTTCGTTGTTATAAAATACAATCCTACCAGCCGGATGCTGGTCCTTCTCTCGACCAATTCCAATGAACGCCATCAGACTAATGCATCTATCTATAGATGGATTTGCAGACCAAGATTGAGGAAGGTATCGAGATTTGAGTGGCTGGGTATGGAAGGGGAGAGGAGGAGAGAGAGTAAGAGAGTAAGAGAGGGAGAGAGGGAGAGAGCGAGAGAGCGAGAGAGCTAGAGTGTGTGTGTGTGAGAGGGAGAGAGGGACAGAGTGAGAGACAGAGTAGTGGGGAGGTAGTTCTTTTTGACATGGATTCCGGGAACTCAGTGGAAGCCTTAGTTGAGAAAACCTTTACACCCGGTTGAACCACAGAGGCACGGGATTCTGTCATCGCTATCCCACTCTCTCTCAAATTTGTAGTCATATGTCAGCTCTTCGTCTGTTTATGGAGTATGTTAGTATCTTTTCAATTTGACCAATACATGCCATGCCCACTTACCCCTTTCAATGTCTCGTAATGCATAGATGACGATTCGCTTGCTGCCATCGACCTTTATTATTTTGGCCGTGCAATTCGGCGTACAGCTGTGGTTGATAAACCTGGCAATACCACCCCTCTTTGTCGCATCTATAACTGTGTTTTCATCGATACGAAAAAGGTAACTACTACCGATTCCGCTTTTCAGGTAACGCCGTTCTCTCATGTCAGCAACCTGCTGCCGGACCTTCTCACCCACATATTCAATGATCATATCGTTCGCAGATATGTTCTCTTCTGCATAGAGGCCCCAATTATGGATGGCGGATCGAGCAAAACGAACTGGCTTCTTCCGTTTCTTCAACTGGTTGAACCGGAGAACATCTCCATCGCCGCTCTGAGTTGGAAGAGCCTGCTTTTGAGCGTTGATATCAGCAATGAGGCGGCGATTGTTAACCCTTGTTGAACGGGAAGTGGACTTCGAAATCGTTTTTGCTGCAGCAATCCTTGCGGCTTCTGCAGCAACAGCATGTGGATCGCTCTTCGCCCTAGCTTCTCGCTCTTCACGGGCCTTTTGAACTTTGATCCGGTGCGGCAGATATTTTGATTTCTCCGACTCCAAGATCCGTTTTCTTCCTTCAGTTCTTGCTGCCCCAGTCGTGTTTGAAACGTAGTAACCGGGAATGACGGTCTCCTCGCGTACCGGACCAGACTCTTCAGGGCGATTAAGTGCCTTGATCTCCTTTTGTCTCCAAGCCCAAGCTGAAAGGTTGCCAACATTGGATCTCGAGAATTCTCGTAAGACATCACGAAGAAAGCAAAGATCCTCTTCATCCTTAACTAAATTCTGCCAACCGTCGAGATCCAGCACAATCGATTCGTCGTCATCGACCGTTGAGCGAGGCTCGTCATTCGATACTCGCCATTCAATCTCCGTTCTAGGCTCTTCAGTCTGCTTGCCATGCTCAAAACTACCAACTTGGGATACAAGATGGCGATGGTCTTTGCCGAGACCTTTGTACTCAACATCAGCACCCCATGAGTCCATGAGTGCCACTGCATCGTCTTTCTGACCATGCCCTGCCAATTGACCATGGGAGACCAAGGGATCCGTGCCAGTTACAGATGGTTCATCTGCCGCTGCGATGACATCCTGGATGGTATCTGACCGAGATGGGGAGCATGCCATGTCTTGGTCCTCCCCAGATCCCGCCGCATCATCCATATCGAAGCATTCGTCGCCTCCTTTCTGTTTCTTCCGTGCCTTTGCTCGGTCATCATCCACCTTTCTTTTGCGTGATGAAGATTGGAGTCGGTCAGGGACCTGCTCGGGAGCCTCGCTTGGCGAAACGCCAGATTCATCATCTCTCGTGATGTCTATATCGTGAGACCTATCACTATCGGTCTGCCTTTCGGCAACAGGAACTTCCAACGTTTCAGAGCCGATCCGATCCGAGTCTTCCTCTGAATCCGAGGTCTCAGAACTCATTCGGCTCGGGGCACGACTGTCTAAATCTTCAGTGTCTCTGGTAAAGGGTGTCCTTTGCTCATCGTCTGAATCGTCCACATCGTGTAGTTGCTGGAGACGATGGTAAAGTGGTCTTACTTCCTTCTTTCGTAAGGGCTGTTTTCTTCTCTCATCCAAGAACGCAGCGTTCGTGCGATCTAGTCGATGTGCCTTTCTGATCCGTGGAAGAGCAAGTATATTCAGACCAGACGAACCCAAAGGATTCCTACTGGTTGACAAGTCAGAGCGTGAGTCAGGTGTGCCAGCTGAACTGTCGAGGTCGATGCGGAACATAGGCCTTTTAGCCCCCTCCGGTTCAGGAATTCCCAGCCTCTCCCTCTTCGTAGCATGTCGAACTGGATCCAGGTAGTCATACAAGGCCGGTGCTGCAATTCGAGACTTCACATCTTCAAGTAATTTGTCTCGTAGGTCCCGTATTATTATCGCCACCACCTCTCTGCAAGGGTCCAGATCCAGGGCACGTTGTCTTTTTTCTTCTTCGATGTCCAACTCTGCTTCCCTTTTCAGCCTGTCCTTTTCGGCTCGCTCTCGCTGTTCGGCCTGCAGTCTCTGAGGACTTGGACTTCGTTCGTAATTAGGATTCCCATAGGGCTGACTCTCCATGTTCATAATGTATGTGAACAGAGGTTTCATATGGCACATCTTGTAGCATCTTTCGGTTTCTTCTTCGCCGCGCCTTGAATTCTCAAACACAATGTAGTACCCTGTCTTATCGCAACGTATGTCTTTCCAATCGAATAGTTTGAGCCTTTTCTTCAGATGCGGAACGGTGGTACTGAGGACCGGTACATAACAGTGTGCGATGAATATATATGGGTCACGCTTGATCTGACTCAGTATAGGTATTTCTTCCACCAGTGATGGTACAACAGGCTTCAAAAAGCTTGCCCTCGGCCCTTCCGGGACTGGGACCGTAGGGCGCATTTGGGACCTTCCAGAAGGGCCCTTGGGAGCCGTCGGTGGAGGCTCATTATTCTTTGCCGAGACGCCCGTTTTAGGTTCCTCTGCACTCAGAAGGTTGTTCCTGTCCCCCATCCTCTGAGAGTCGACTGCCCTTGTTACTATCTTTGCCGAGACGATGCCGTCCCGGTCTAGCTCGACTCTGATTCTGCGCGTTCCAATCCGTTGCTCTTTTTTGCACTCATAATAGGCTCGCCTGGCTGCGTTCGCCGCGAGAACGGGCCCGCCTCCTCTGAAAGATGCGCTATCTTTATATTTGACTGAACATATCCCCAGAAATCTACCGGTTATTGGATCGGTGCGGTTGTTGATTTCAGCAATCTCCCCGAAACTCGAGAACAACGCATTTATTGGGGCGATTGGGGTCAAGGGATCGAATCCGGTGACCACTATCTGTACCGGAGGTCCAGGGCCAATAGTTGTCGAAGCGTCGTATGGCCAGTGTTTCAATGAGTAAGGAGCTGGCCGAAACTTGGTCTTCTGCTTGCAGCCACCACCTCGCGAATAATTGGATATTTTTAAACGAGGGTCTGCTGGTCGATCATCTTGCCCATTAGGCACTATATCCACATATCGCGCTTTCCTTCGCTTCTCCTTCGATGATATCCGCTTCTCTGAATCTGGGTCATAGACTAACTTCCAGCCCCTCACGTTTCCAGAAGTGCGACTCTGCGATCGGGGCGTTGGTGGGGTTTGCAGGGGCGTCATGGCGGGCTTTATGTCATCGGTCTTTATGGTGCCTGAACTATCTTCGATCCCGTTGGCTATCCTTATGTGAGATGGACTGAGCCTCTGAGCGGGCGACGACTCCGCGTTAGTGAGTGGCGTAAGCGTATCGAGACGCGCTTCATTCCCATATGCCGTGCTAGGCTTATGTGTCGATAGGCGGGCAGCCGAAACGCTCATACTGTCAGAACTTGCAAGTCCATCACCATTGACAGTCGGCAAATTCTGTTCCTCCGCGTAAAGACCCGGTGTCAACTCAAGGATTGCCTTGGACTCTTCAGGAAGCGCACGCCCTTCATCGCTATGGTCGTGTTCCGGATGGGCCTCGGAGCGAGGCCGCTCCCGGATGGTCTTGCGCTTTTGCTGGAGGACGGACGGTGCGGTTGGGAAGAAGTCTGCAAATCCTGCTGAGGAGCGCGACATGTTGAGAGGTGGCTACAAGCCAAGACCACGATAGCTCCAACCAACAGGTAGCATCCTTGGTAGTTGTATAATACTCGGTGCACGGATTTATTGGCAGGAAATATCCTGGGCACAAGGCGGTAACGCGAGAAAAGTAAATCAATAAAGTCTGGAGAGAGCGGGTAGAATTGAGAGAAGCAGGCTCGGACGGAGTTAAAGGAAAGGAGGGTAACAGAAGGGGTGGGTTTACAACTCCTGGGGTAGAAAAAGTAAAATTAAAGAGGGTAAAATCGAAGGAGGAAGGTAGGGAAGAAAGCAGAGAGAGGCTGTACTGATTAAGGTACTAAACAATCTGATTTTCCCCGTTCTGGTGAGCCCCTACCAACGCGACTGGAAAAGCGCGCGGAGAGAGCGATTCATGGCAGGAATCGGCTTGCAAGGTGGCGGGGAGCGTAACAATCCATGTGCGATCACGATGGATGGCTCAACAAACACGGGCTGTCGGCACGAACTGGAAAGGCGCAAAACGAAGGGGCAGAGAAGTACTGCACATTGCCATAACGTCTGCGAAGTTATAGGCGACTCCCGCGGCTCGACGTAGACTTATCTTTTCTTGCCGTTTCTGCTCTTAACACGTACAGTAGGGGTGCGGAGTACGGAGCGATAGGTAGAAAATCCATCCACCATACTTTGTCACCTAGGGACCATTAACTACTCCTGTCTACTACCCTGGAGGTTCCCTAGCCAGGACTTCGTCAAATGTTATGTGGAATTGTCAACTCCTACGCTAGTCCTGAGCCGATATTATCCTTTGATCATCTAGCGTATGATGAGTGTTACGT